CTATAGACATTATAGAGACGCTATAGACATTATAGAGACGCTATAGAGACGCTATAGAGACATTATAGACGCTATAGAGACATTATAGAGACATTATAGAGACTATAGAGACGCTATAGAGACGCTATAGAGACGCTATAGAGACGCTATAGAGACGCTAGACGTTATAGAGACGCTATAGACGCTATAGAGACGCTATAGAGACGCTAGAGACATTATAGAGACGCTATAGAGACGTTATAGAGACGCTATAGAGACGCTATAGAGACGCTATAGACATTATAGACATTATAGACATTATAGACATTATAGACGCTATAGACACGTTATAGAGACGCTATAGAGACGCTATATATACATAGCGTATATACGCTATGTATACGCTATAGAGACGCTATAGACCCTAGACGTTATAGAGACGCTATAGACGCTATAGAGACGCTATAGAGACGTTATAGAGACGCTATAGAGACGTTATAGAGACGCTATAGAGACGCTATAGACATTATAGACGCTATAGAGACGTTATAGAGACGCTATAGAGACGTTATAGACGCTATAGAGACGTTATAGAGACGCTAGACACATTATAGAGACGCTAGAGACATTGTAGAGACGCTATAGACATTGTAGAGACGCTATAGAGACGCTATAGACATTATAGAGACGCTATAGAGACATAGACGCTATAGAGACGTTATAGAGACGCTATATAGACGTTATAGAGAGGCTATAGACGTTATAGAAACGCTATAGAGACGTTATAGACGCTATAGACGTTATAGAGACGCTATAGACGCTATAGAGACGCTATAGACGTTATAGAGACGCTATGGAGACGCTATGGAGACATTATAGAGACATTATAGAGACGCTATAGAGACGCTATAGAGACGTTATAGAGCAGCAGGATCACTTTCTATCAATCAATCTTTCCCTAATGCATTTCTGTGGCGCTCCCGTTCTGTCCTCACCTAACCCTCTGGAGACCTCCCCCGACCCTCTGGAGACGACCTCCCCCATCCTGATGTCGTCCATCTTGTCCTTCAGCTCAGACAGAGAGCTCTTCACCTCCACCAGCGGGAAGTGGAGCGAGAACTCCTCGTCCTCCTCTTCCTGCTGCTCCTCAGCCAGAGGAGCTGTGGCCTCCTCAAAGCTCTGAGGAGGGGGGGACGGGGGGGACGTTGAAAGAGGAGACAAGGAGAGAGGACAGAGAAGAGAGGAGACGAGGAGAGAAGAAAGGAAGAGAGAGGAGACGATGAGAGAGGAGAGAGAAGAGGAGGAGGAAAGAAGACAGAGGAGACGAGAAGAAAGAACAGAAGAGAGGACAGAGGAGACATATCTATATATTTATTTATACATACGTATATATCGAGCTGATGTGTTGTGTAATGTTGTCTTTGTGTCTTTACTCCTGGATTATCTTCAATAATATAAATATTAAAGTCTGTGTCCTTGACTCCCCCGTCCTCCCGCCTTCTCGATTCGCATCTACTGTGGGCTGGACTAAGGTGCAAAGAGAGGAGGGGAGGAAAGGAATGGAGGAGACTGGGATGAGTCCAGGTCTTACCTGCAGGAAGCAGATGTGGTCCTGACTGACAGCCTGGACCTCCAACGTGGCTCTCCGGTCCATCAGCTCGCCGAGCTCCGCCTCCAGACGACTCACTAGCCCCTCCCCCTTCGACATCACGCTGTCCAGCTGGTTCTCAATCCCGCCCACAACCTGAGACCGGATCCTGTCCAAGGAGCCGGTCACCTGGTCCAGGAGGTGTTCCACCTCTCCTCGCTCTCCGTCTGCGTAGTTCTGAACACATCATCAACAACAACATAAACTAGAAAATTCCTAAAGAAATTTTGACAGTGTGGCTTCTACTGCCCGAAGAAATCGCAATATATACACGCCAATGCTACCGGTAGTGTCATTCAGGTTCAATTGAGATAGCGCTACTCTCTTTTCTGCATTTTAGATTCATACTCTTCAGTCCTCTAAAAATATCTAAGACCTGAATAACTGTATAATAGAGAGAGACAGGCAGACTGATTAAGAAACGTTGCAGTAATCAGTGATTTTGAACAAAACCCCTGCCTCTTTTTAACAAATTAGCAGGAGTCTGAGTGCCAAAATATGGATACTGTGAGAAAGATGAGACTCTGGCAAACGCGCTGATGTGTTTTTTATGGTTGTGGTGTTAATAATGTGAGCTCCAGAGCAATGGACAAAACTGGTACCGTCTGCTTTCTTTGAGAAATGAGTGGTGAGATTTAACATGGAGTCTAATGGAGCAGTTGGTTGGAGTTCATGTCGCTCTGCGGCTCTTTGAGCCAAATGTGTAAGTCCGTTGGATTCCATAGATACTTTACTGCGACCAGCACAACATTTCCAAGTTTTTGGGCCAAAATGGTGTATAAAGAGTAAAAATTGTGGGAGCTGGAGCAATTTGTTTGGAAAAATCACAGAATATTTTCCTGCTCTGCTCCACTCTGACAGTTATGCTCTCACTCTAGCTCTTAACGAGCCGTGCAATACACACCCATTATAAAATCTGAAACAGACCCAAAATTTTCCTGAAACTTAATCTGTGACTTCATGAAAACTGTGCTAGCTATCAAAATGTCCATTTGGCTCAATAAAGTGCAGCGTTTTGTCTACGTTTTAAACTTTGAATCATGTTTCTACGTTAATGTATGGCTAGTCAATATGGGCCCAAAGTTAAGTGTTTTTTTAGCTCTCTTCACGCCGAAACCCCATTCAAGTAAATAAGGACATTTTGCTCAGTTTTTGGGGATTTTCGGGAATTTTCAGGAAAACCGCTTGGCAAATCTTTCCGGAAAATAGAATGCACACTATTCCCGATCAGGCCGCACGTTTTGATGTATTTTTCACATTGCTGTTGGCAACGCTGTGTGAGGAGAAGCACGCCAAACTTTTGGATAAACCTGATTATTATTATGATTAAGCCCGATGGATAATATACAGTGTGCTGTGGCACAAAGCCACACTGAATAACAACACAAACATAGAAATCATAGAATTAAACCAGCTTTTACACATGAACTCTTATTAATAGACAGATTTTATTTACATTTGAACCACAAACAGCAGAAGAAGAAGCTGAAAACAAGATGGCCGACCTTCACTCCCTCCAGTTTCCTCTTCAGCTGAGTCACATGGATCTCCTTCTCTCTGATCCGGTTCAGGATCTCCTGCTCCGTCCTCGCCACCTGTTTCTGATAATCAATAACCTTGTTTTATTAACTTCACAAAGAAGAGAACCTCCTCCTCCTCTCTCTCTCCCTCCTCCTCCTCCTCTACCTGTTTGCCGAGTCTCTCCGTCTGGACTGAGACTGTTTGGTGAGTTCGATGCTCCTCCAGGACACAGATGGCACAGATGCAGCGCTGACACGTCCGACAGTAAACCTGACAAGTGAACGAACACATCAGAGGTGAAAGAAGACTGTGACCGGGAGGTCGTCGGTCCTCCAGTAAAAACAGGAAGTGGTTGTCGGCTCACCTCCAGCAGGCGGCGGTGGGCGCGGCAGGTGCGGCCCCTGAGGGCCTCCTGGGGGTCCATGAGCGGGTGTTTGGAGTAGAAGGCCGTGGTCTGGTGCGGCTCCAGGTGTTGAGAGCAGTAGGAGGCGGTGCAGGTGAGACAGGAGCTGACGGCGGGCCGTTTGACCCCCGTACAGACGTCACACCACACCACCTCCTCACCCGACGAGGTCACCAGGTCACCAGGCGCCGTGACATCAGTCGCCGCCGTGCCGTTCCTGGCGGCCGAGGGTAACCCAGTGGCACCGTAACGGGACTCTTTGTATTTATCAGCGATGAGAGCGAAGACTTTGTTGACGCTGAGACGGGGACGTTCTTCAAACTGTCGTTTGCAGAGAGGACACGTACAGACGGGACTGGAGGCCCAGTAACCTCCGATACACGCCTATAAAACAAGAGAAGAAGAAGTAACC